GTTTTAAAAAATTTAATAAATATTTGCGAGAAGCATCTAGAAGAAATGAAGTATCACTATTTATTTCTTTAAAAATTGTCTTTTTTTAAAGGCAATTTTGTGTAAAACGTTATAATAAAATCGTTTCTAAAGTATGATGAGGTAATAATTGTATCTTCAACAAGCATATCTACTATAAAATTAATAAAACTATCAATTCTCTTACATAATAATCATTTACATGTATAATATCTGCATCGTTTAGGCTGCAAAATGCCATCAATTCCTAAATTTTCATTCCAACTCCATTTACCGTTCATATATAATCTATGTAGTGTATTGCAGTAATTTCACGGTCTGATTAAAGGGAAAAAAATATATTAAAAGCGCTCTTATGCGAAGTTCATATTTTGGTACGATAATTTAATAAATATATATTGAATTAACTTAGATATTTATTTAATATATTTATATCTATGTTTTACTACTCGAAAATTAATTATCCCGTTAATTTGGATTTAATTTCATAAAATGAGATTTCTAAAAATAAAATGGCATAAAAATTAGATTTGTCAGTTATCTAATCGAATTTCTTTAATTTCATTTTCTACGTTGACGGTATATAAAAACACATTTGCTAAGTTATCATTTGTTTGCATTCGACTTAATTAGCTACTTTTAGAAAAAAAAATATGTTATTGTTTCATTTAGAATATATATATTTTTTATTTATTTTGTAAATAAATTTATTTTTAGTTGGTATAATGTAATATAATTAATTCATCCAAAAAAACGAAATATTTTAATATTTTTAATGTAATTTTCTGTATGTGTACTGTGTGTGTGTGTGTAAGTTAACGTTGTATTTTTGTTTAGATTTTTACATTTTGTACTTTCCCATATATTTCGGAATATTTATTCTGAATGCACGGATTTGATCAGAAAGAGATTATGCAGAATAGAACGAATTTTATCGCCCTTTATTTAATACTTGCAGTTTGTCACGTCTCTGGTGAGGACACAGGACTCTATTATGTGGAATTATATGTCGTAATCCCATGCCTTTAACTTTATAGATATAGAATGTATCGTAATCCCACTGGATAAAGTTAAAATTATGGTAATGTTGAATCTCTGTATTTTGTTGGATAATAATTTTGAACAAATCGGACCTGCTGAATTTTTAATAAAAATGTTTATAAATATTTAATGTTTACTTTTAAAATTTAATAAATTAAATCGTGTGTATTTTTAGTATTTTTTAAGAAATTTATAATATTCATTCCATTCAAAATTCTCATATTTTAATTTTAAAAATGTAATTATACGATGTTTTGAACTTATTGTTTTTTTACAAAAGAAGATATATATAATAAAATCAGAAAAATCGAAAGATAAAGGTCATAAACCTTATTGAATTTTCTGTCTATGATAGTCTCTGAATAATTATTTTCCCATTTTAAAATTAGGAATATCTATCATTCCTATCAATTGAAATTCATGCTGAGAAACAGCTGTTATCATCTGTGAATAATGTTATATCTTATCTAAGTTTGATTTAATTCAATGAGTGTTAATAAAATTTTTCAAGAATTAAATGAATTAACTTGTCCTTTTAATTGAGAGTGTAAATTAAAATTTTGCTCGATAATTAGACCTATTTAATTTTTAAATAACTTCCGCTGATCGAAATATACTTGTATCTTCTATATTTTAAATTCATTTTATAACTATGAAAATTATGATTATTTAACAAAGAGTAATATTTCGAATGTTCATAAAAAAGATATTAAAAATAAAAAAGGTTTTGTTTTGGGGTCAAGAATGGATTAATCCATTTTATATTGTTTCTTATGGGAAAATTTGTTTCAGTTTTGGAACAAATCTGTTTTTGAACAATTTGGTTCACAAAGTTTTGAACTCGTATTTGCCCTGATTGATGTATGATAACTCAGTTGCTGAATAATCTACTTGGCAAAATCTGGCCACAGATTAGAGAGAGACAGATGGTCAATTCCCTATACTTCCTTTGTTAAAGAAAGTTGACGACCTGACCAATCAATAACAGGACTAACTAATTCAGAAGTTATTGGTGCTGAGATCACCTTGCGTCACGACACAAATCATTAATGATGTTACTCAAATTAATTTTGATGCATGTGCAGGAAAGATACTATTTCCATTTTTCAGTATGTGTCACAGTTGAATCTAAATCAAATTAATTAATAAAAACTGCATTAATTGATATTTACATAATATAAATGGCATCCAAGAATTTGTGTTTAAATGTGATTAAGTTAAATAACAAAAATGTATTAATATTATATTATATATTATAATAATAATATTTAATGTTTATTAATACTGAGTAGCCAGTTAATTAATCAAAACTAAAAATAATAAAATAATAATTAAAACTCTGGCCTTTACACTGAAACTGAAATTAAAATTAATTAATTAATTAAAATCAAATCAATTGAAACATGATATTTTGGAAAATATGGATAAAGTATTTGTTATCCATCTTGATTGATTTGGTTATATTTCATGCAGGCAGTCAGAGTTGTCTCAGTTTATAGCATTTCTTTGTAAAGTGTCGGTTTTGGTTAACTGTGACAGAACATTTTGCTTTTAATATATAGTCGATATAGAATAGATATAGATAATATAATATATTATATATAAAAATATATTGCATTTGTAGATATTTTTATGCATGAAATACAGTTAAAAAGATATTAAAAATAAAAAAGGTTTTGTTTTGGGGTCAAGAATGGATTAATCCATTTTATATTGTTTCTTATGGGAAAATTTGTTTCAGTTTTGGAACAAATCTGTTTTTGAACAACTTTTAGGAATGAATTAAGTTCAAAAAATGAGATTTGACTGTCTTTTAAAATATTTTTCTTATAAATTTTAGCAGAAATGCTTTCATCTTGTATAATTCTGTTTTATTATATTTATAATTTTTTCTGTGGAGATTTCATATATTATATGTGATCATTTGTTTAATTTATATTCTGAAAAGATAGTAGTGCTTTTGTCTGTATTAAATTATTCCTAACAAAAAGGACTGAAATTATAATTATTAAATATTTTTTATTGTGTAAAACAGCTTTCCATCTGGGTCGGTATTGACTCCTAGGGTTGATAAAAGGAGGTTGATGAGCAAATTACGTACATATTGTATGTGCTTATGGTTTTGTTAGTTGGTGACTACTGTATTATAAATGTAGTATTTGAATCTCCTTGATGTAATTTAAATCTGAGCATTATCAGTACATCAGAGAGATTGCGGCCCAAGTTCTTATATTACTTATACAAGGCAAACAAAAATACATGGTTTATGTTTTAACTCCAAGAAAAAATTGTTGCGGCGCACGTTCACATCATCACGTGACTCAGTGAACTTCGCGCATTGACTCACGGGAAATTTGTTGAAAAAATGGCGGATATATTTAACATCGAGTGTTACTAGTGAAGGTAAATAAACAAATTAAACTATTTTAAAGTATTTATAGGATGTTTAATAACACTAAATAATTATTTTTAATTAGCATGGTGTCTCCTACTGTATGACATTACTACCTCGTACTTTTGTCGAGGGAAGTAGTGACTTATGTAAATTCGGAAAATTAATTTTTAGAAAATTTACAAATGTATTACGCTGTTGTTGGTAGAAGATGCTGTGGAAGAACAAACCTACCTTAAGATAAGCTATTATGAAGGCAATTATATGTAAATTCTACACTTGCTAAAAAATTGAATAATTAAATAATTTCTCGATTAAAATTGTCTGTTTCTTTACAGTATTATTCATAACTGCTTAAATAATTATTATCTTAATAAAATAGATTTTAATTAAATAGATCTTAATAAAATTATCATAATTTTAACTCCAAACACAAAAAAATGAAGAAGTTTAAACCGATCATCTACTTGTCATACTAGATGTAGCGACCGCCATTATCGACTGTCCAGAATTGTCAGATGACGGCACTCAACGGTCCGCCATTCACGTTTTGGGCTGAATACAATGGCCACAACCTCTCTATCAGCTAATATAATAATAAAATTTAATGAGTACTATAGTATATGCTGTTTCTAATGGCTGATATACCACCATATCTCATTGATACAAGCAAAGATGTATGTATTATAGCATTATACTATCAATTGAGTATACAATATGTAGCAGTATTATCATGGTATTATGCTGTGTACCTACATAATTGGCTTGAATGTGTTTATCAGTAGACCTGATATACAATAGTTTTTACCAAGTTATCTTGGTAAAATAGTTTGCTTGGTGGCCATATTTGTTGATATCTTACATGAATCATGTTGCCCACATCTGAGCTGTATAATAGCACGTATTTAAAAGTATTATGGTTTGTTTTTTGATGAAAATAGTAAAGTCTTATTATACTCTTTTGCAATAGGCTACCATGTATTGCTTTTCAGCCTATGTTAGACTTATCATATGTTTAGATAGTTGACTTAAAAATCTAAACTAGAATTTTGGGCTGGAAATGTTGTTCAACTTATATACCAAGTTGACTTATACACTGGCTTATACATTAATAGTATTGTATATCATTCATATTTTTCCTTGCTGGTTGTTGTTCAAATTTTTTGTATAGTTAAGTGTTTGTCCTACATTATTAGAATATGATTACAGTTGACCCTCCCTATAACACTGTTGATTATTCCGTTTTATATGAATTCCATGTTGTACGAGTCACTTAGATTTTACAAATACGTGAGCCATTCACAGCCCAGCACATGTATTTGTAAAATCTAAGTGACTCGTACAACATGGAATTTATATAAAATGGAATAATCAACAGTTTTATAGGTGGGTCGACTGTATTATTAAATAAGATCAGGTAAATATTATTTATTCTTAAACAAAATGATCACCAGATTCAAACAAATATGATAATTTAAATTTTTACAATTATACTATTCTATAAATTTGGAATTAAACAATATTATATTATTCTAATTTTAATTTTTAGAGGCAGTTAGAAGTATTCTTAACAGACACTACAGAAAGACTTGCCATAAAAGCAGAATTGAGAGCTGCAAATAGTAATGCTGCAGGTTAGTTATGTTTTAAATTAATTCTGATCATAAAATTAATGGTTAACTCTACTGTTCTGTTTGGATTGACTATACAAATGTGCTATTGGGATCAATATAACCCTTTTCCCCATGTATATATATTTATGTATAGATAGATATATGCATTGTTTATTAAAAAGATGGTATCATTGAGGCAAAAGTAAGTAACAGTAAATGAATTTTACGTATTTTTTACAGGTTTTGCATGGCATATTTTGTTTTTTTCATCTCTATCTTATGTGAAAAATTTACATCTTTCATGTTTTCTGATTCTTTCATCTGTTAAACTTACTGATGCGGAAGCTGTTTGAATTTTTTTTACACTGCAACATGACTCTTCTGTCTTCAGCATGTGTGTTTTTGAAAATGTATGATCTTTGAGTAATTTATAAAGTTGTTCAAAAAATAATCTTTTGTTTGGTTTGGCATGCCAGTTTGGTTCTGCTTTAGTCCAAAATAAATGCAATGTAAGGAACATAAGCATTTTATAGAAAATTATTATTGGTCAGTAGTTTGTTTTCTTTTATAGAAATATAAATAAACACAGTAGCCTCTTCTCTGCAGAGAATATGTTAATTAAGTTAGCTACTAAATGACTAATGGCAAGTAGCATATGCAATTTGTATATGTTGGACAAAATGATGATTCATGTCTTGGATGGGATGACACAGGATTTCATTATGCTACTTAGAATGAAATACAATTGAAAACTAATGAATTGTTTTTCTTTTGGAATTTTTCTTTTAATATTTTTGTATTGTGGTTAACTGTGGCTAATTGAAACCACAGATAACATGGTAACTATAAAAAAGGATCTAATGACCTTAACAATAATTATGAAATAATTATAAATTTGATAAAAACCTAATAGAAAATGTTTGTTGTTGTTGTTGTAACGTCTCAAATAATTTTTCTAATGTAAAAATAGTCATTTGTAGTCATATTGACCACAACAAAATACAAAATAGCAGGGTAATCATTAATTTCTGTATTGATCATTGTATAAAAAGTTAAAAGTTTGTTACTCTTATCTTTTACATTGGAATTTAGAATTATGAGAAATCGAGACTTATTACACTTTTTATAAGAGAATTAAAAAAAATTAGAAATTTTCTCCATTTAAAATAATTATACAAATGTCAATTTGATATATTAAATGAAGAAAATGAAAGAATATTATTTTTGAATTTTTAAAAATTATATAACAGTAATGCATAGTATAATATAATTATATATATACACTCATTACCATAAAAATTGGTGCACCAAGGAGGAGTTGTTGGAATTGAATGAAATTGTACACTGTGAGTGAGTGTAATGGTGATATAAGTAAATGATTATAAAATGAAAGCAAAAGAATTATTTATTGCAGGAAAAACTACAAATGAAAGAAGATTCTAGTACCCTGTTGGGTCACCTCTAGCATGAATACACAATGTAATATGGCAGGCATGGAAGCATACAGGTAGTTTATAGTGTCCTGTGGCATCTCAGTCCACAGTTGCTGCAAGCAGTTCTTTGCTTTGCTGTGAACAGATTTTTCATCAGTATATTATGCATAGACTTACAGGCCTTTGTTATTGGTAGTTTTTGTCCTGGACATAAATATATATATAGTTATTATAATTGGTCACTTACATGTATTAATATGAACTATAACTTTAACCTCAATTTCATTTTCTGCAATTAATAAGAAGTTCTTTGTTTCAGTTAAAAGTACAAATTAAAAAGAATTATGAATTAGATTTTGGCTTTTTAGTTAATAGGAATGTCAATTAAGAAAATAAAATTATAATTGTTATCAGATTATATTTATAGTTATATTTGTTGTGTCAAATATGACTGGTTATTATGTTAAGTACAGTTCAGATAAAATTATGTTGACAATTAATTAACTGAAATTGAACTTTCTTTTATTCAGCTAACCGTCCAGAAGAATCTTTCTTCAGCAGATTAGATTCGTCATTGAAAAAAAATACTGCTTTCATTAAAAGATTGGTAAGAATAATAATCTTATTTTCATTCTCTAAGACTTAAGAAATTATTTTTGTATTTACACAATTTTTAATATTATAGTTTACTGTATTGAAAACATTAATTTCAAATCTTGTTCATATAATTCTGGAGAGGTTATTGTGAGGTTATTTGTATTGATTAGGTTATTACCATAAATAAAGATTATCATCTAATGTTTACCTGTTGATGTGAATATCATCTAATTTTTAACATTTTTTATTATATAAATTGAGAACAGTTTACAGTCGACCCCCCCCTATAACGTACGTTCCTATAACGACAATTCCTATAACATAGCGAAAAAATTGTAGAAACTTTCGTATAACGTACCTCCTATAACGTCGTTTTGCGAGAAGATTGATAGAGTCTGGACCAATAGTGGATGAGCAGCCGAACTACTTACCTCCGACCCTGCGCCACGCTACGGAGCGGCTAAATTGAGTTTGCTATCGTCTGTTTAGTATTATATATAAATTATATATAAATTAGGTACTGTACATATAATTATATATTAATTATATATAAATTAGGTACTGTATATATAATTATATATTAACTTAATTTATTGTAACTTTATTATAATTATATATATGCTTTCTGCCGCCTGGCAACACGCTACGGAGATTTTAGGCTAGTAAGTTGAGTTTATTATCGTCTGTACAGTATGTAAATTAGGTACCGTAAGTCTAATACAGCACTAATTTTATACATTTCTTGTGAAAGAAACACTTCTTATTCAACGGCCATAAAAATTATTTATATTAATGATGTCTCCAAAGGTCAAGTTATTTTTATGCGAAAAATTCGTTATTAGAAATCGCGGCCGTCGTTTAATGTGCTGTTCCGCGATGAAAACCAGCTTTAAGCAACGGCGTAGTCGAACGGTACACACTCGGTAAGTAATCCTATAATTTTTTGTTTATAGCATAGTTTATACAGATTATTCCCAAAAAATTATACGTATTTTGGAAATGTTGAGTGGAATTAGTCTAGAATCGGTTAATTTTATAGAAGAAAACCTTTCAAACAGCCTTAGTCCGTAAAGTTCCCACCTATCGGGCTGCGATTGGCTCATGTATTTAATCGTTCCTACAACGTAATTTTCGGTTAGCGTGGAACGTATCTAAGCGTTATAGGGGGGTCTACTGTATTTAATACAGTTAATTAGTGCAATAATTCAATTGTAATTAATTTTTGTAACATATTTCATTTGTTACAATAGTAGCTGTTTATATTATATTATACTATAAATTAAAATTAAATAAAATTTTTAATAATATTAAATGCAAAATTTTCAACCTTTTTTATGTATCAATTCCCTTAAATATTATATACAGTTGTACAGTACCTTGTACTTCAAATTTAATTCATTTCAGGAGGCTGCTTGAACTCTGAATTGTTTAGTTTGAATCAATTTTTCTCATTAGAAATAATGGAAAGTGAATTAATCTATTCCCACACCCTAAAGAATACTTATTTTAATAAACTTAAACCAGCAAATGCACATAATTTAACTCTGTTGACCTATTACCACGCCTCCTTGTTTAGGTTTAGTTTGTAAAATGGCTGAGGGAAGTATAGGTCAGTTAAGCAATATTAGCAATATTATTTTAAAAATTCACCAAAAATTAAATTGTTATTATATTCTTATGAAAAAATAACATATTTTATCGATATATTTAGTTTTAAATATGACATTTTTCATAAAATATATCATAACTGACATTTTAACTTGAAAATTTGTTACTTTTTGTCAAAATTAACATTGTCTAGTAACAGAGTTCCTTTTGGCACTGAGCCATAACAACATAGAATATTGTTTTGTGCAACTCTATATAACTTTTGTCCATGTACATTTTTTCATTTTGAAATTATCACACATTATAACAAAAATTAGTTTGAAATCAAAACTTTTATTTTGCTCTATACTAATTTTGTGTGAATAACGTATACTAAACAAAAATGAAAACATTTCTGATGAAAATATGATAATCACAAAGCATACAAGTAATATTTGATAATTTTTACATAAAAATTTTAAAAAAGTAGGGGAAAAAAATGGATCTGTGATGCTGCCAGTACCAAATCTGTAAGAAAGAGTTATTTATTTTATTTTTTTGCATTTACAGCAAGATGATAATGCATATAAATATAATGTAAAATGTTTGATCAGAATTATATCACATACCTATCTGTCAACAATGATGTTTTGGGTAACATTCAGGATGTAACTTAACCCCTTGATACAACAGGTGCAGATTGTTCTGGATTGACTCTTCAACCCCATACTTGTGCAGATGCAGTATCTCTCCTCTTTTTTTTCAGGTAACTTCCTGAGTTCCCTTGGTCCTTGAGGATCTTCAGGAAGTTTTTTATTCACCAGCCATTTCCCCTCCAAGCTCTCTATGATTGAAATGTAGAAGGCACACCTAGATTTTAGTTTTCCTGGGCCTCCAAAATTCTCTTTGTATAGTAGATATGAGTTCAGCACTATCCTGGCTATGATGATAAATCAAACTTTTTTTCAGTACTTCACGGTCTTTCTCTCATCCAAGTACGCATACAACATCATGTCCGATGTATTGACCCCACCCATAAATTTATTATACTGTAACTCTATTTGTGGCTTTGACTTAGCCACTCCGTGCCTAACAATTTGTTTATCACATGCCCTCACATGACTGGATAGTAGCAAGACCGGATTTTTTTGTGAGGATTTTTCTCGGAAGCCACAGGCTAATAATGGGCCAGATCTAAAATAGGATATTTGGCCGACAGAAAACTTAGCTTTCAGTGGGGCAGATATATATTTTCTGTTTCATCTAACAGTGCCAGTAATGTAGGTATCCAGTGAACATAAATATTGAACAAGAGGAACTGACATGAAGAAGTTATCTACAAAAAGATGATAACCTTTATTCAGGTACAACCTCGTTTCAAGCAGTTTTTTTATGACGCTATACGCTAGACCAAATTTAGAATTGTTGTCCTTTTCCTGCAGAGACCTGGCCCTTCCATAAGTGAAAAAACTCAAGCAGTACTTAGAGACTGAGTCACACAGCATTCAAAATTTTATGCCACACTGATGTTTTTTTGGAAGGTACTGTATGAGAGAAGTTCTATTTTTGGTACCAACACCATCCACAGAAATTTGCTGGTTTGGCGTGTAGTAATGTCAGAACACTCTGTTAGTGTGATCGACCAGTAGTTGATATTTTGCACAAGGATCGTATCCTTTTTCTGCTGGGCTGGATAACTTAGAGTTATCGATGAGATGGAAAAAATGCAACAAGTGATAAAAGTGGGTTCTTGGAAACATTTTCCCAAACCATGAAGTGACTTGGGAGGAAGAAGTGGTGCTATGGTAGGCTTTTTGACTAATCCCATGTTCAATATACATGCTAAAAACCCCTTTATCTCTACAACTGAAATTTTGGACCAGTTCTTCAGAGTGGGCAGTACATTATCCCCCATGCCATTTATGATTTGGTGTGCATAACGATTTGATTCCGTTACAATTAAATTGAGCAAAGATATTGTAAAAAAAAAATCGAAATATGCAATTGGGGGTGAATGTGGAAGTGGCATGTGCTTAGGGCCAGCTAACTCTAGAAAAGTGAAAGGAAGTGAAGAAGGTTGCTCTGGAGATAGAACCTCCTTATAGTCCTCATCATTGTCATCACTTATAGATTGTGTACATTGATTAGAGATGCTTGGAGAGAGGCCAATTCATCTTTCAAGTTGTTATCAGACCCTTCAAACATACTCATCTCAATGTCAGAGTCAGACTGAAATCTTATCAGAGAAATTCTCCATGTACTCTTGGAGGTCAGTGTCATCTAACATTTTTAGAATTTTTGATGTTGATGCCATGGTGTAAAATAAAATTTAGGTGAAAATTGATAAATCTAATTAAAAGAAATAAACTATATGTAATGATATGTTACAATATATAACTAAAAGTATAATGAATAAAATTGATAACTGAATTGAAAATATAAAATAAAACAATTACAAATAATTCTTTGAAAATATGATTCGATATAGGATCAAAATTTATATAAAATTATGAAAAATATACTGTATATATCTTAGAAAGTAAATTACTTTATTTTATATAGAAAACTAAGTAGAAAATTAAAAGAATGATTGAATAAAATAAACAAAGAAAAAATATGGAACCTTACCTGCAACACACACAAAGCAGTCTTTGAGCGAAAAATCAAAAGGGAATTCCAAAAATTCAACTAACAGTTTTATAGGTCAACAAAACAGCACCTGGACATAAATATGTGAAATAGATGATAGACAAAAGGTTACCGTCAAGTGCTGACATCTGTTGTCAATAAATTTAAAAAAATTGATTTTAGCAAGGTACTAACGAAACAGTACACAGGTCATCTTCCTTAACAATAGGGGGTGCAACAGATCGGTACCCTGATCAACAAAGAATTAAAGTAAAAAATAACACAATTAAATACCCTAATAATAAATTAAAACACAAAATATGTAAATACTATATAATAAAATGAAAATTGCATTTAACGGTTGCACACAGTTGACTCTAGCTTCTTAAACATGGCTGTTAGATCTGCCACATGTTTACTGCTTTAATGCTTCATGATAACTTACTTTTTCATCTTCAATCATTGATACTACAACCTTCCTCTTATACTGTACTTTGTTGCTTTCATACACCTCTTGGATTGCCATGGTTAATAAGTAAAGCTTATATTGGGTTGAACAGAATATTTTTGTGTATTTTTAACAGCTGTTGTTACTTAACATAGATGTGTGATTTAATTATAACAGTTATTTAACATATTATTGCTAATGTGTGATTGTATTCTTTTGTTTAGAAGCCTATTTTAAGCTTCACATCTTGTTTGAATAAAATTAAGTTGAAATGTCTTCAGATAAAAAGTACATCAGGCATATTATGCTCTGAGTTTTAGAAAGGACATAATGTCATACAAACAATAAAAAAAATTTGTAATATTTATGGGGAAGATGCTCCTAAACTTTGAACATGACAAATGTGGTTTAGAAAGTTCCATTCGGGAAATTTTAAACTAAAGGATACAGAATGTATGGGTCACCTAAAAGCTGTCAATGAAGAAAAATTGCAGGGAGAAATTGTTAAAAATTAACAAGTAACACACACTTATAGTGTGCGTTACTTGTTAATTTATATTTAATTTGTTAATATATTAATTTATGTTAATATGTTAATTTAATTTGTTAATATATAAAGCAACACACCAAAAATAAAGCAAGAAAAGCACTGAGAACATATGGGTGTAACATAAGAGTGAGAGATGACTTGGGCACACAACAGATTGTGTTTACACGTTGAGTGCATTTTTTTCACTGTCTGTGCAGTTGAAACTTTGAAGTGTTATTTGAACTCTGAAGTAAATTTTTGTCAAATTTAGTGTTCAAACTCTGAAGAATTTGAAATAGGAAGTACTACTGTATATGCAACAGCCCTTATACATAATTTTAAAAAATAATCTATCTATCTAAATTTATTTGAGAGCAAAAAACTGTCAAATTTTCAATATTTATTAAAAAAAATATATTTGCAAAGTTTTATTGCCCTCCCCTCAAACTTTCATCAACCTCTATGGGATTAATACCGACCTGTTGGGAGTGGGGTGTGGTGTGGACTAAAACACAATCATATTGAATACCTAAATTTCCAATTACAATAGAAATTTACACTTTACAACAAAATAAATTTTATTTTCAGAAATCTTTCTCAATTTTTAATGATCACTCAATTTCCTAAGAGTAAAATAAAGAAATTATAACAACAATTTCATAATTTTAAAACTTGTTAAAGTTTTTATTACAGAATAGTAAAGATGGGCAAAAATTTCTGGCACTGAATAGTTTATCCATAGAGTCTTCGTATGAGTTACCTGTATTAAATGACCACCTGTGTAACGCAATGCAGGCATCGATTTTTAGTCCAAAACAACATACAACAACTGTAATAAGCGACCACTTCCGCAAATATATCTGCTCTAAATTATTGTTCAACAACATTTCCTAATATAATGAATTAGTCTAAACTCTCATTCAAACCCACCTCAGGCACGTCTCCCACCCTTGAAATAAGATGCAAGTGTTAATGAATTAGTCTAGCAACAAAGGAAATTCATTTCAGCTTATTTGAAATTGTCTGAAAAACAAAAGAAATGCAAAGTGCTGTCGTTAGAAGATCATGTTAAAGTTTTCACAACAGCAATTAGCGGCGAAGTTTAACTGTGGGAAAACAAAATTGATTTTACTGTAGACCTACAGTATTTTCCTTTGGGGTATAAAATATTGTACACGATACAATTAATCAGCTGAAATCATCGTTTGATAAAATTTATTTTTATTTATTTATTTTGAAGCTCATATACAGTACATGTGCGATAAATAGTTTCTATATCAACCTACCTTATTTCCACGATATTTTTAGAAAAATAATATCCAAGTGGCCGAGTGGTCTCCGTTGCCGCTCATAGCGGTGGTGACTGGACCCTAAACACTGGGAAGTTCGGTTGTGAGTTCGTGCCGCGATCGGACAGGTTGGCTGCTTGGAGTTTTCCAGGTTTTCTCCTTGCCAATAACGACTAAATAGGAGGCCAGTTCCCCATAAAAAGTCCTCCCGGAAGGCATTCTTTCCCCGCGCACGTGTGACACATCATTCAAGGAAGAAGGCAATGGCAAACCACTTCCTCAACTCTTGCCAAGAAAACTACATGGACAAGGAAAAACTTGTCCATGCAGTCACCAGGAGTCGACGACGATGACTTGATGGAACTTAACAACAACAATATCCAAGTAATTTTTGCACGCAAAATATTCAAAAAACAATAAATGCATTAATGCAAAAATCAGTTTTACAGGCAACCTTCCTTTTTTGATTCTGCAATGACAATCGCAGAATGTAATGAAATCGTATAATGAGAAAAAATAATAAAATTGTTTTATTATTAATTAATAATCTTTCTTATTGTACTTAAGAAAATATTAAATATTAAAAAATACAGTATTTTTAAAGTTAAAATAAGATTAAACTAACAAATACCAAAACCAAAGTGATGTAGAGATATGACGTGCTTGTATATTGATGACATAATACACATAACTGAGGAGCAAACGAAAACAACCAAGTTGAATTAATTAAGTCGGAAAAAAGAAAGTGTGCATTATAATCAAGAAAATGAGACTATTGTATTAAACTTTAAAATATTGGTATTAAATCTGTCTTATAAAATCATGACGACTCCTGTAAATTGAGTTATCTGATAAGAATAAAATACAATACCAATATAGCTCTATCGTTGAAAAAATTCGCTTATTTTTGCTCACCTCAAGTTTTGCTTAGTAGAAATGACTAAAAAGTGCGCAAAATACGTACTGAAATACAGTATTATAGCATCACCTGTCTAAAAGGCCACATTTTGAAGGAACCATGGGTGGCTGCCATAGACAGGTTTTACTGTATACTATATTATTGCTGAAGACCATATAGATTTTTCAAAAATTTTTTTTACTAAATTATACACAAAAGCACAGCCAAATGGCATTAGAACCAATGTGAGTGTTAGTCTACTGGTGTATCATTTATCATGAGTTCATATTACCAATTGCTGATTTATTTTGCCAGTGATAAAAATATTGCTACATGTCAAAATTTGCACTATGTAGTGGAAACCCTGTTTAAATTAAAATTGATAATTATTAATTGCACTTACTTTTTATTGAATATGTATGTTTAAAAATTTAATTTTTATTATAGAGAAATATGACTGAGGCACAAAGAGAATCCTTAATTAAAGACATGAGTGGATTAAATTTAACTAAATACATCAGTGAAGCTGTAGGTTATTCTTTTTACTTTTTTTGATAACAATTAAAATTTTGAAATGTAATGAAAAAATTTCTGTAATTAGGCTGCTGCTATTGTAGATGCAAAATTAAAGGTGAGGAATTTGTATGATTTATAGAATCAAATGTTTTGCTTTATTATTATAAACATAAAAATTTATTTGTTTCAAAATAGACTTTTTAGTTTTTATATTAAATTACAGATGTCAGACGTTAATATGGCAGTTCAGGTTTGTTCTCTACTTCATCAACGTTATGCTGATTTTTCAATGCAGTTGCTTGAAAATTGGCAAAAAGTGTTACCTTTGAAGAAAGATGAAAAGGTAATTTTTTTTTTTTTTTCTAATTTGACTTTTATTTGTGTATTTTTAACTGAAACTTGTGACTTAAAATATTTGTATAAAATTTGTAAGTAAAACAGGAATGTTTTTATTACATCAAATATTCAAAATTGAAAGTATAAAGTAGTAAATGAAAAAAGTTTTTTAATGTTAATTTTCCATAAAAAATAGGATTTCACTGTAGAAATTTCATAATTTAATTTTAATTTCTGCTTTTCTAGTGAAATAAATGAAAATAAAAGTTTATATCATTCTATCAAAGGAATGCTATATACAACTAAAATGAATAGTGCAAGTTTCTAATGAAAGATGAAATTAATTATTTTCTATGATATTCAGCATAATGAAACATATTGAAAATTTTAAAAATTTTAAAATAAGTGTGTTAATGTAGAAATTAATTTTGTTTATACTTAAATACATTATGATGATGGCTAGTAAAAATTTCAGTTTTAACATTCATATAATATTAGTAACTGATAGTTTAAAAGCCTGATTTGTTGTTTGAATATCAGGGCCTGTCAGGATGGATGAAGAAAGTTCTAAAACATTAAAACTACACAAAATTCTGTGTTTGTAATTTTTTTTAATTTGTAATTTAGAGAACAAGTTTACTAAAGTAATGATTTAAATAAACTATAATTTACGTTACAAGATCCACACAACTCATCATTTATTAATGAGATTTGCTCAAGATATTCAGTAAAATAAGCTAGTGTTCAAATTGAAATATCTATATAAATAAAAGTTCAAATAGACATAGTGACTAAAAAAGTTGTAAGAACATAAAGTTAATGAGAAGAAAATTATACAATATGCAAGTTTTTGTATATCATTACTAAAATCATAATTGGCATAAAAATAACTTGATGAAATTTAACAACTGTAAAGAATTAATATATTTATAGTAAATTTTTCCATGAAATTGATTTTTTTTAAAGAATGTATAAGCTACTTTATATACAAATAACTTACACTTAATAAGAACTTGTTAAGAGAAAAACAATTTTGAGATTTTTTAAGAAATAAAATCTAAAATTTAATAAGATTGTATGAAGAATTTTGTTGAGTTTTGTTAGCATGGCATCTTTTCCACTTTATTATAAATTTTGATTCTATGAAGATTCTTTTCAGTTTTTTTTAATGTAAAGAATACATTTTAAAATCCAAATAATATGGATAAAGTATGCAATTTTTGTGAATAGCAGGAACATTATATGGATTTTAAAGTGTTCTTTTTATATAAAAAATATATTTTAATTATAAAGAAAAAAAAGAAGAAATCAGTGGAAGAGAGCATCTTAATAGTGTTGAAATGCATATTAGAAAAAGTTTTGTGTGTTTTCTCATCACCTTTCTCTTTTCTCTGACCAGTAAAGTGATTGATCAGAATTGTTGAGAGAATGTACACTAATAAGAATAACACTGTTAAAATTTAAAACTTACATCTTTCTGTTGAATTTAATTGAAAATTATATAAACCATTTAATAGAAGTATATTGAAGCTAGTTAAAAAGTTGTAGTTAATATGTTTACTTGAACATGAAACTAAATTTAAGACAGTATTAAGTAAAGCTAAAATCAATATCAAAACTAATTTTTAAATCTAATATATTTGTAAATATAGGATATTTATTGATCTTTTGAAATTTGCTTTTGTACTAAAAAATAATTATAAATTATATATACAGTAATACCTCAACTTACGCTATTCGTCTTTTGTTTGAGTGCCATGCAACTCTTGATTACTCACTCCCCCCACACTATTATTCCACTTACATGTTCGGATGTGTCATGCAGAACCGACACATAGCTACAATTTATTTTGTGTTACAGTAGAGCGTCGATTATCTGAATGTCAATTATCCGAAAGAATTCCAGTCGGCAAATTTAAATTTTCGCCAGTGCTGTGGCGCTGCAATCTTTGGCTATGTCTTGGGCTTCTCAAATATTTTACGTTTTTGATACTAAATTAGCTTCTGAAGTATAATTTTTTATTGTTTTTATATTTTTCAATATATTTATTTTGTACAAACAAAATAAAGAAATAATTTTTAACGATACAATAGTCACGATTATTATTTTAAAAAGTTTACGTTAGGCTTAACATCGATGAAAATTCAACACGAAGTGACACGCAATGGAGAAAAATTTCAACATGGGATAGGTTAATATATTTTTTCGTACATAATCGGTTATCTGAAATATTGATTTTCTGAACAACCCCAGTCCCCAATTGATTCGGATAATCGACACTCTACTGTATTTATTTCTGTGTTTGTTATATCTACGGAGACTTGAGAGACTATGTGGTGATTTATTGTAACTGTGAACGAATCAAAAGACGAGATAAGATTAAGAAGAACATTTATTAGCTTACATACATCTGACTTGGATTTTACACAAATTGCGAAATTATATCCTGACTTACGCGAATTTGACTTATGCTATTATGAACGATAACAGCATAAGTCGAATTCACAGTCCCACCTATTGTGTAAGTTCGGGGTATTACTATATTACATGAAATGAGTCGTCATGTAATCTGATACAGTAAAGTATCTTGAAAACAAAAATGTTAGAGGAAAATGTTTAAAATAACATTTGTTTTAAATGGAGAAGGGAAACAAGTGTGTGTGTTTTTTTATTTTGACAATGTGTCAAAGGTTAATTTATTGTTTTCAAGTGGAAATCTGTGTGTTTTTGTAACAGCAGTTGATTCTGTGTAAAACAACAAATGACTTTTGTCTGAAACATTTTTCTGTTTATTGCTTAGTTTTCACATTTCAATTTTAAAAGAAGGTTAACAAAATTTCTATTTTTAAAGTGAAAAGCAATTTTTTATTGCCAAAACATAAAATAAATCAATTGTAATGAAGAAATTAATCTAACAAGTGTTCAAAAAGATGGCCTTTAACCTTGATACATTTTTTGATATGTTCAAGAAAAGATTGGTAACAAATTAAAAGTGCTTCTTAAGGAATAGTTTCACAAGAATTTCATATTCATTCCCGCATATTTTTTTGGGTTGTGTTAAATTGTTATATTTTCAAATGGTATTAAATTGGGTGATCTAGCAGGCTGAGATATTGGACCACTAGGTTCTATTCAACAACCATTGTAACATTGATGTAATGCTTGTTGTAGCATGTGAATAATGTGCATCATGCTGAATCCACATGGTCTGTCTTTCCATATTGTAAATTCATGTCTTCCAGCAATAATGATAATTCATCAATAAGAAAATTGTGGTGTTTCTCACCATTCAGACAAGAAATAATATATATATCAATTATTTCTTGTCTGAATGATGAGAAACACCAGAATTTTAATATATATATATTAAATATAAATTAATTATTATAAAAATGGATTTTAAGACATGTTTTTGAACTATGCAAAAATATTTAATAAAGTTTTCAGTTTAAGTGCAATGAAATCCTTATCAGTTTACTTATTGACAGTTAAAGGCAGTTTTCCATATTTGGACATATATTAAAGATGACACATTAAAATGCCAAAAATGTTTAGCTTTTTCAGACAATTAACATAAGTTAAGTGGGTTAAATTTTACTTATGTGTACAGTCATGGCGGCACTTCTGGTAGCAACTATTCTTGCTTCTGACAGAGTCCATTAAGATCAAGAATAGTCACAACTGCATCTGTGACAGTGCCAACCTAGCTATAAAATATATCTAAAAAAAATTACTTAAATGTTACTCACGATTAACACACTTTCAATCAAGTTTATTCCGCTTCTTGGAACGAACTTTTGAATCACGGACATTGGTAGTGTCATTCTGCATTGTTGATTGTTTCCCTTTAGTCTTACAACACTTTTCTTCTTTCTTTCTCTTTGCATTTTCCTTCTTGGGTAATCACTTTCAGGGCTGCAGGAACAGTTTCAGGCTCTTTCCATATCGGTACATGGCCAGCTCCTGGATATATTTTACTTAAATGTTGAATAAACAATTTGAAACGTTCTCCTGGCCTTAGTGTTTCACATTTCTGAAGCTTTTTGTACTTAAATACGTATAAATATGAATCGCACAGTTCCTCAGTATAATGAATTGGTAGGTTCCTTTTGTTCTTCAAACAACCCCACAATCTTTCAGTGCTTTGCATATGAACACCTTAACTGGATTAACAAAATTTTCAGCATGCTTTACTCTTTCATGATGAATTTCGTGTCCTAAATCATCTATATGATTATAACCCTTCCATTCATCAGTATAGTTAATGGTTTCTGAATGAACAAATTTTTTCACACCCCAGTTAAGGCTTGTCTCTAACCTATCATTTACATAGCACAGGAAACATGTTTTGTCTTCTCTGTTTATTCAACCGACAGCACACTTAGTACCTTTTAATTTCCTATTTTTTTTTGTACTTCCTTTTGCTTACCACAGTTTTGTCTATCTCAACTGTCTTTCTGGGACCTCCTATTTTCAGGGTTCCTACGCACCTGGAAAGTCAGGGAAAATCAGGGAAAGTCAGGGATTTTCATTATTTTTTGAAAAAGTCAGGGAAAGTCAGGGAATTTGTCAAAAATTGTCAAAAAGTCAGGGAATTTGTCGAAAATTGTCAAAAAGTCAGGGAATTTGTCTCCTTAACTGCGTTGTTGATTTGGTTTGCTGAATATAGATGACCAATCATAGCCATACGCAGGCGGCAAGAAGTAATGCTGCAATCTTTAAAACCCGAGATAACTCGGGAAAGTTCCATAGCGTTATATAAAACTCGGGCATTTGGGCCCTCCGAAAAAATTTTTGTTTTTTTTGGATGTTTTTTAAGTCTCCAAATTTTTTCAAAAATTTTTTCCCGCGCGAAAATATTTTATCGCGATTTTAATATACCTTTAATGACGCACGATTAACTCTTAATTGTTTTTTAATGGGAGTTTTTTTTATCAAATTTCATTCATCGTTCTAAAGTAGTAGTGCACGGATTTTACTTCGATAAAGTTATTTAAAGCTAGTTTCTGATGTCAAAAACGACCTCCAATAGTTTTTTAATTTTTTTAAATTAATATATTTTATTATATATACGTTTAATTAAGTCGGGGGGTCGGAAATCGCAATAAAAAAACGTAATTTTTGAAAAATATTTAAAAATATACGGCCAGCTAGTATTCACTCTACTTTAAACCCTTCTCCTCCCGAGACTTCTATGAGAATGTCCCGGGAAATCCCAACACCAGCTGTTCTCCAGGTCATCCAGCTGTAAACACAATGACTCATCGGTGTCAGATTTCACAGAAAGGCGAGACAATGGAAAATAAAGTTTGAAGCTTTTTCTTCAAAATTAACGCATTTCTTTCGTTTTTTTCCCAGTTTTAAATATTTTTTATGTTTAATTACATTAATATTAAAAATTAGTGGGTAGCAAGGGAGTTAATTAATAACAGGATAAACTACTTTTATGTAATAGTGTTTAATTTTTAATTTTAGTAATTCAGCGATTATAAAAAAATGAAATTGTTTATTAGAATAAAAAATAACTAATTAAAAATTTGTTTGCAAACTTTTAAAAGTTGAAATCGTAATTTATTAGAATGTTCACTTCAAAATAGCTAAACAGATCAGTAAAAATCTGTAATTTAATCGTTTTTCAGTTTAAAACATAAAAAATTATAAATAGTTACCCGACGTTTACAGTAAAATACTGGCGCTGACTTGTTGTTGGCACAAGCTTTTTATATTTGTTGTTACGATTTTCCTTGAATGTACTGTACTGCAAGCATATTTTCCCTCTCTCTTCCGTTTTTTTCCGCAACTTCGATACATAGTTTAATAATTAGTTAACTGAAATGACATTGGGTAACAAATATCACTGATTTTGGCAAATTTAGGGCTTAAAAACTGGCAAGATTGATCATGCTTGTAATAAATATTCTGTAGTTATATTTTCGAAAATCAACAGGTAATCCGATAGTTTAACCAATGTTAACTTGCTTATAATTAAAATTTAAAAATTAAAAAGCTGTAAATTTAAAAAAAAATAATTACATTACTAAAAAATTAAAATAAATTTGATTATTTTTTGTGCGAAACAACACCAAAACAATTTTTATAGTTATGTTGCAAAAGAAAGAGATTTGTAGTTACGATTCTCTGCGCTGAACTTCTATATTTTAATAACGTATAATTGTAATTTCGTTTGTTGTTTATTTCTGTATTTATTTTATTTTATAAGTTTTAAGAATTCCAATTTTCGTAATACTATGACGTCATAGGAATACAAGTGTTAGGTTCCGGAATTGTCCGGAACTAAAATAGAAAAACGTAAAATAATTTAATTATTAGAGAAAAAAAAGGAATGAACAGAAATTTTTTATAGAAACTTGAGGAATAATCTAGACCAGGGGTCGCCAAACTTTTTTGATCGTCGACCCCCTACAACTTTTCAAAACCTCACACCGACCTCCACCAAAAAGTTTGTGTTACAAGCAAAAAAAAAAGCTCTTACTATTTTAATATATAGGCTATCTTTTAATTTTACATTTTTTACATTTATTATACATATGTTAATAATAATTTTTGTAACTGATAATCAATGATATGGCCAATGTTTTCAGCCAAGCTTGAGACAACCAATGTTTTCAGCCAAGCTTGATAATCTTTTGCAAGATTATCAAGCTTGGCTGAAAAAACTGGTTCGTTTAATTAAAATTTGCTATAAAAGTGAGAAAGATGGTTTGTGATATGATTGGCAATAATTATAAGAATTGTAATTAAGGGTTAAAATAAATAAATTTTGTCTGCATTAAGAAAATTTTATGCAAAGACGAAATTTAATGCAAAATTAAGTAAATAATAAATAAAAATTATTAAAAATAATTGTTAAAACTCTGGTCTTTACATCGAAACCGAAATCAAAATGGCGGCAACGAAACTTTTTTTTTTCTTTTAATGAGTTGCCAATTCAGCTATTTTTTATAGATTTAGTAGATTTATGAACAATCTAGCTTAAAAAATCAAACAATTCTAATGGAAACAATATGATTTGGTTATTTTTATTAAAATGTCTAGCTGTAAATTTGAATTTTGAGTTGGCAACACTACTTTTAATTAATGTATATCAGTTGCTGATTGGATATCGTTTGAATATTTTACGTACTGTTGTGACAAAACGTCTTACGCATTGCTATCTGATCTGGTTCATCTGTCTTTTAATATTATTATTCAAGGTTTGTGTTTTTCTACATTCTTAAATTATAATGGCACGGAAACAAACGAGGTTTAATCTCCAATGGCTGGATCCAGCTATTCATCCAGAATTCAATTCCTGGTTAGGAACTGTAAAAGATGATGATACAAAAGCATTTTGCTGCATTTGTTGTAAAGTTTTCTCATTAAGTAATATGGGAAAGCGTGCATTAGTATCACATGCAAATAGTTCTAGTCATGTTGAAATAAAAAGATTGAAGTCGGAACAAACTTCACTGATAAGGTTTTTAACCCCAACAAATTCAAACTCTTCTGATAGTCAACAAAATGTGTGTGAAACGGCTTCTGTTGTGGAAGATAGATCTAAGATCACTAACAAACAGTCTCTCACCAAATCAACATTTCTTAGCAGCACATTGACACCTTTTGTGATAAAAGATGATGTAATAAAAGCAGAGATAACTTGGGCATTGGCAGTTGTAAAGAAAAAGATGTCACTCAATTCATGCTCTGATATTAAAAACATTTTCAAAAAAATGTTTCCTGACAGTGCTATAGCCATGCAATTTCAATTGGGTCCAGATAAAGCTTCCTATATAATAAATTATGGCCTAGCCCATTATTTCAGAGAAAAATTGATTAATGCTGTTACAAGTTGCGATAATATTACTATCTCCTTTGACGAATCACTAAACAAAGTTGCTCAAAGAACTCAAATGGATCTTGTGATAAAATACTGGGACGAGAGTAAAGATAAGGTTATGACCAGATATTTAAATAGTGTCTTTCTGGATCATAGTACAGCAGATGATCTTCTCTCTGCATTTCTCAATGGTCTTTCAGAAATTCATCTTGATCTAGCAAAAATTCTTCATATCTGTATGGACGGACCAAATATAAACATAAGTTTTCTGAATAAATTAGAAGATCACATGGAGACACAGAACATTGGTAAATCATTTGTGAGAATGGGAACATGTGGTTTACATGTAGTCCATGGTGCTGTAAAAGCTAGTTTTAAAGTAGTAGATTGGAATTTGTTACCACTGCTACGGAATTTGTACTACTTGCTAAAAGACTCACCCACTCGGCGTGCCGAATACATTGCTATAAGTGGAAGCAGATTATTTCCCAAAAAGTTTGGTTCAACAAGGTGGTTGGAGAATGGTGAGTGCTTAGAACGTGCAGCAGTAGTTGTTGAATCTGTGAAGACATTTATAAACAACAGTACAAAGTTGAAAGACAGCAAGGTGGCTACATTCTTGAGACAGGCACTCAATGATCCTTTTATTAAAGTTAAACTTTTATTTTTTCGGTCTATATGTACACAAAGTGAGAGCTTTCTCACCCGATTTCAGAGCAACAAACCTCTTGCACCCTATCTTTATAAAGCAGTTGTTCAATTATTAATGAACCTGATGAGAAAGTTTGTGAAAAATGACAGGGTCACCGACAAGCAGTTTCTAAAAATAGATTTAAATGCTAATGAAAACTTGGTACCTCTGAAGAATTTGGATATTGGTTTTGGAGCAAAAAAGGTTTTAAAAGAATTGAAAGTAAGTGACAAAGATATTCTGTGTTTTCTAAGAGATTGTCGAAATGTGCTGAAAGTGATGACACAAAAGATTATTGAGAAGGGACCTGTCAAGTACAAATGTGTGAAAGCTTTGAGCAGCTTAGACCCAGAAATTATTAAAATGCAATCAAATGTTGGAAAATTGTATTTCAATGTTTTACTGGAGGTTCTACATGATACAAACAGGATTGATGAGAAATGTGCTGTCAAAGCAAAAGAACAGTATGATATACTCTGCAGTAAAGTGCCCATAAAACCCTATTCTACAAAGTTTGAGGACTTCATATCTGAAAGGAGTGATGATGATGGTCTGGACACATTTTATTGTGAAATTTTGAAGGATGATAGGCAACTGCAAGATCTATGGTCTATTATCAAAATTTCTCTTTCTTTCTCACATGGGAATGCAAGTGTTGAGAGTGGTTTCTCGGTTAACAAATCACTGTTGAGTGAAAATCTTAAGGAAGAAAGTTTAGTTGCTCAACGCTTAGTTTATGATGGGATCCATTTTGCAGGAGGTATTGATCAAATAAATATAGACCAGAAAATGTTGTTAACAGTCAGAGGATCTAGACAGCGATATATTGAATCTCTGCAACAGAAAAAAGATATTCAGAAGCAGCAGACATTGAGGGCTGAAGAAAAAAGAAAACTTACACAACAACTTAAGGATTTAAAACAACACAAGAAAATGTTAAGAAAAGATCACGAAAAGGAAGAAAAAGAGATTGAAATGAAAATAAATACACTTGAGGAGAAAAGGCTAAAACTACATTAATATAATAGTTTTTGTGTTTTGTGAATTGTAATTCATTTTTTATTTTCTAATTATCTGTATTTTGAAAAAAGAGGATTAATACTAAGAAGTTTCTCTGTATTTTGATTGTCCATTTTGTAAAAAAATAAAAAGATTTTACAATAAATTAGATGCATTTGTTAGAGAAGCTATAGTATAAACTTACACCTATTCCTCTTTATGTACAATCATTGATTTTTTTTACGTAGGAAAAATGCTTTATTTAAAAATTTTTAAATTTAACTTTTTGTTAAAATTATGTTGCTGTTTAAAAAAAGTTACTCTTTTTGTTGAAAGATTGGTTTTAAAATTATGTGTTTCTAAGTCAAGAGTTCATTTTAAGCACAGTACAGTACTATTTGTTTATCAAAGAATACTTTTTGTTGATTTTACGTTACCTTGTATTTACTAGATTTACATACAACTAATAATGATAAATGATGATAAAATAAAAAGCTTGTGTTTTGTTTGTAAATTGCTTATTTTTTCATTACATTGAAGTTGTGGATTCTATCAAACATTTTTCTACAGGATGTATGTACAGTATTTTTTTAATGTGACAGTCTTTGAAGCATATCAACTGTGCAAAAAGAGGGCTAGATGTAATCAATGTTCACAGTAAATGATGTTTTATTATGTCGATATTCCACACTAAAAAATGTAAGGGTCGGAATTTGGACAAAGTTGGTCAGGGAAAGTCAGGGAATTCAAAACAAAAATTTGAGTAGGAACCCTGCATTTATGTTTTTTTTCAAATTAATTGCCTTGCTTAAGCCACAATGAGCTTGGAACAAAGGATCTAGAAGTGCTCAGAGTAGTCTCAAAAATGAATATATATATATAATTGTTCTAGTACCAGTAAATAAAAAGTCTATAAAGTCAAATAATGGGCATAAATAATCGTACAAAAATGGAAGAGAGTAAAAAAAATAGAAAATGTGAAGTATTAATAACAATTACTGATGTGCTTTACATTATTTCGAATTCTTGTCATTGGTCATATTAATGTGGAAAATAATTGAAGACAGTAACTTCAATTATGAGCATTACTTTATTTAAATTCAAATGAATTCCTCAGACTAGTTTGTACATTTTCAACGATTATAGAGGTTTCGAAATTCCAACAGTCTGGGCAAATTACCATCCACATACTGCAATTTCTCTCCAATTGAGCTAATTTTGAAGAAAATTTGCGGCGATTTTATGTGAATGTCGCTACTTTTTTGCTTGTTAGAAACGTTTACTATATTTCTGGCATTTTATCTCCTATCTGCAGATCTCTGACAATAAAAGCCAAAGTTTTACACTTAGTTTTCCTATGCGACGTTACGTCGCATGACGGCCGAACGGTCAAGGTGGCAGCCTACCGCTCTGGGTGACCCGGAATCGAATCTAGACGAGTCCGACGGCCGCCCCATAATGGGCTTGCTAAAAGACCCTCTTCGTGCCCACAGGACGGAAAGTGTTTAAAAAAATGTTGTATGACACACTAACCAGTGATATCACAAGAGCATCTTTATTAATCTACATTAGTTTCAGCATAAAAAGCCAAAATGTCAAACTTAAAAAAGAAGGTAAATATGGTCCATATTACCTGCACATAGTTCATATTACAAGGATGCTTCTAGAAACAGAAAGTTACTATTTTGTACAAAATTTCACACACAAATATGTCTTCTTTCTGCACCAGCGCACATTTTATATCCAACTAACGCTGACACTTCTGACTCTGGATCCATTCATCACCAGTCTGGTAGCGGTATAATAACGAGTTCTGGTTTTGCAAGAAGTAATCGGAAAAAAAATAAAAAAGGAATACTATAAGCATGTCTGGTAATAAGGACTACAGCAGCGCAAAATTTGCTGATAATACGAACAATGGTCCATATTACCAGCACTGACTTGCTATACTAAAACCAATTCTTAGCCCCAATCAAACAGCAGGTGCGACTTTGATACTGTGTGGATAATCAAGAAAACGCAGCAAACTATCAAAAAATTACAATCTTTGGAAATTTATCCATTAGTTACACAGACTGCATTATCAACCACCAACAAGAGTTGAAAGTCACAAAAAATGTCCGAGCCTCTCATTGAGTGGAGATGTTTTCTTTTTTTTTTTTCTTGTCATTTCTTTTATCGGATTAACATGGAGGTACAGTGGTACCTCAGGATACGAAATTAATCCGTTCCGAAACTGAGATCGTATCATGAAAATGTCGTAAGGTGGATCATCTTTTCCCATACGATTACATGTAAAACCAAATAATTCGTTTCAACGCGAAAATCATACTCAAATTAAAGCCAAGTAATACATTAAAAAAATAACTGTAGTAAGAAAAACAAATGAAAAATGCGAACTAATGTAACGTCGTATGGTGAGTTTTTGTTCGTATCGTGGAGCAAAAATATGTTCGAATTTCATGTCGTATCCTGAAAATTTCGTATGCTGGGGCGTTCGTAACCTGAGGTACCACTGTAATTGCCTAGACGCTTATTCTCCAAAGAGCCGGCCAAAACTCTGCTTGACTATAAGAAATTACTCGCGTAGAGCCGAGGGAAATGCCTTCCGGGAGGTCTTTCGATGGTAATTGGCCCCAATTTAGACGTTGGAAACCGAGAAACTCGGAAAACTCCACGTGGCCAGCCCGTCCTGGCGAGGCGCAAACCTACGATCGAACTATCAGTGTTTCGGGAACGGAACCGCTTGGTCACGGCGGTCATTTTCAGCATATAAGGGCAAGGATAGTAAAAGTACAGTACAGTACGTGTCAAGCTATAGCGTTCCGAAAGATGGTAAATCAGTACAGAGGAACGTAGGTGATCCACATTAGCTATGATATCGGCAAATGATAAATTTTTAAAAATTAATTTTCTACAAGACGTAAGTTAAATTATAATTTATTTATTTTTATATCCGATACGTTTTTGAAGTTCTTCCAAACATCGATCTTCGCAGAATTATAATCTAATTGCCCAAATTCTGTATTATTCTTATGAAACTCTTTATCTAACGGCGGATCCAAAAATTTTCAGAAGGTATGCAGGAAGGAAATAATATATCTTATAAAATACTATCCGAAGTACTCAGCTTTACTCCGAAAAATCATATATTTAAAGTTAAAAATAAACACACGAATCGAATGTGTCTCTGTGTTTACCAAAAACTTTGGAATTGAAAATTAAATTAACATTTCTATAAAAACATTATTGGTTGTTTATACGGTATATATTTTCTTTAGTGCAAAAATAATTGTTTTTGTACTAAAGAAAAGAAAGCTAACAATACTATCTGACCAGATATCAGCCTAAAATCTATCTCCAACTTACTCACATCTGGCGAGGTCTTATCTGATCCGAAATAATCATTGTGAAAACAGAGATAAAATTTATTATAATGCTAATTGTTTTTTAAAAATCAGAAATAAAAACTGAGCACTTTCTTATGCTTTAATTCGATGTATTAAAGTGGCCATATTTTTTTTTGCGAGCCAAAGCGGTACACTTTTTCGGGTATTGTATATCTGTCTCCACTTTCCCCTGACTCACATTCCTTCAACTGCCTTACTCTGCTTCGCTTTAAACTTTATAATCTACCGGAAGTCAACAAGAGTAAGATTGTTACACAAAAGATACTCGGACAAGAGGAGGATAGTCGATTGTTTTTCTTTAGATCAGCATTCACTTAAATATTTATTAACGTTTAATTTTTAAATTTCCATTGACCCATTAACCTTATTTTTTTAAGAATTTATAATTACAATTAGGCCTAACTACATTGTACACCGAAACAGGATGCATTTTACGATGTACAAGCTACTATAAAAAGTGAATTGTGACAATTGTAAATCATCTCAATCCAATTGCTGCGCAACAGTTGATGTGCTCGGCACCGCTTTTTCTTCTGGAATACATTATTGCACAATATTTCACTGATGAGTAAATTTTTTTGTATAAAATCTGAGCTCTGTATGACTGCTTCATATAATTTCTCGCACGATTTTTCAGTTCCGGAGGCATCAAGTTTACAATTCATCAGAAGCAACGTTGTAAAAGTAAGTTGAATTTTAGCCGTTGTTCGTATAGTTTACGCATGAGAGATTCTTTCAGTGGACCCAGAGAACTTTAGTGATACCTCTGAAACTACTATTTGGTGGCTTCAGAGATATCATTCAAGCTATATTGGGAAATTGTATTGCACTATTGGTTGACTTATAATGCACACGTGCGAAAGCAATTCCATCTTCCAACAGACTGTTCAATCGCACTTTATACAATATAATAGCTTCGTCCAGTCAGTGAATCGAGGGCGTCAAAAGTCTTCTACCTTCACGAGGAACATTATTTACGTTGTGCCCCTAAAGCTGGATGTTTGTGCGTCTCGCCAAGCATTTGATGGATAGCAAGATTGATGACAAATGCAGGAATTTCTCTCTTAAATCGGGAATTATAGCCACATTAGTTGGTCATATGATTTAATATGATTTTTATTCAAATAACAGGTTAGACCATCAAATTTCATTGGTCCAGCTTTTACTATATTATCGCCACATTAGCCTATGTATGAAAATGGATATTAGTGTGTTTTTGGCAGGCACGATTTTGGCGAA